AATGAAAGAAAGAATTGCTAACTAGGAATAGGGAAAGAAGGGAAAGAGAGAGAAGGAAAAGGGAGAGAAGGAAAGAGAGAGAAGGAAAAGAGAGAGAAGGAAAAGAGAGAGAAGAAAAAGAAGAGAAGGAAAAAGGGAGAAAAGGAAGAGAAAGGAAGGAAAAAAGAGAGAGAAGGAAAAGAGAGAGAAGAAAAAAGGGGAGAAGGAGGACAGGAAGAAGGGGGTTCCCAGCAGACCCATTGACCGGCACCACCGCCCTGCCTCCTCTGCCTTCAAGAGACCTCACCATCGAGTCAGTGGGGGGGTTGGGGGGAGGGGGTGAAGGGGTAGGGTATACGCCGCTCCATGCTCCCTTAAGGGCATATTGATAATGTAATATCATTCCTTATCCCCACCCTTTACCCCTCCTCCCCCCTCCTCTTTACCCTTCTTCCTCCCCTCCCCTTTACCCTTCTCCCCTTTACCCTTCTCCCCCCCTACTCGCCCCTCTTCCCTCCCCCTTTAACCCCTCCTCCCCCTTTACCCTACTCCCTCCCCCCTTTACCCCTCCTCCCCTCCTCCCTTTACCCCTATTCCCCCCCCTCCCCGTTACCCTCCCCCTCTCCCCCCTCTTCCCCTCCCCCCTTTACCCCCCCTCCTTTAAATAAAATGGACAGCGAACTCCGGCGAACTCCTGGGCCGAAGAGCAAGGCCAAGGGAGATATTATGAAAACTCGTGGGCTGTTGTTGTGTGTCGGGGAAGAGAGGGAGAGGGAGAGAGAGGGAAGGGGGAGAGAGAGGAAAGGGGAGAGAGGGAGGGAAGGGGAGAGAGGAAGGAATGGGAGAGGAAAGGGGAAAGGGGAGAGGGAGAGGGAGAGATGGAGGAAAGGGGAAAGGAGGAGGGAGAGAGGGAGATATTATGAAAACTCGTGGGGTTGTTCTTGTGTGTCGTGGGAAGGGAGGGAGAGGGAGAGAGAGGGAAGGGAGGGAGTGGGAGAAGGAAGGAGGGAGAGGAGGGGGAGGGGGAAGGAGAAGGGAAGGAGAGGAAAGGGGGAGGGGGAAGGAGAAGAGAGAGGATAGGGGAGAGGAGGAAGAGAGAGAGAGAAGGAGAGGGGAGAGGGGTGTAGAAAAGGGAGAGAAGGAGAGAGATGGAGGAAAGGGGAAAGGGAGAGGGAGAGAGAGGGAAGGGGAGGGGAGAGGAAAGAGGAGAGGGGAGGGAGAGAGGAAGGGAGAGGGAGAGAGAAGGCGGAAAGGGGGAGGGAGAGATGGAGAAGAGGGGAGGGGAGTGGAAAAGGGAGAGGGGGGAAGGAGAAGAGGGAGAGGGAAGAGAAAAGAGAGAGGGAGAAGGGGAAAGGGGGAGGGAGAGAGGGGGAAGAGGAGGGAGAGAAATAAGAGAGAGAGAGATTGAAAGAAAGTGGGAGAGAGATAGAGAGAGAAATATAATTAAGCAAATATCAAATATTAAAAAAAAAGTCAAACTCAAAATTTAAGAAAAGAATAAAACAAAACATGATGAAGCAAGAGCGACGAAACCATGCAAAAATGAAGCAAAAAATAAAATATAAAAGATCATAGTCCAACAGAATAAATGAGGCAAAAAGAACCAAGAGAACAGACAAAAATTAAAGGAAATGAACAAAAAGAGAAATCTTCAATTTTTTTTCACTCATCGTAATTCAGGAACATTTGACTCTATTCCTCATACATCAACTATGAGTCATTTCCTTTCTTTACTCATAAATCATGAGTTATGTATCGTATTCCCTTATCTCGGTCCACTTTCACATAAATGAGTAATGAGTCTAGCCTTAATCACTGGACTGATACATATGAATAACTTGATAGATAAAGCATGAGTAAGACCGCCCTCATAATCTTTTTTCCATCTTCTTTTCCTCATTTCCTCATAAAAGTCTTAGAATGAGTACATAAGGCTTAGGAAACAAACCAGAAGTCATTCATTACTCATCACCCATTACTCATTTTCATCACTCATTACTCATTTTTCATTACTCATTTTTCATCACTCATTTTTCATCACTCATTACTCATTTTTCATCACTCATTACATATTTTTCATCACTCATTACTCATTTTTCATCACTCATTACTTATTTTTCATCACTCATTACTCATTTTTTACCACTCATTACTTTTTCATTACTCATTTTTTATCACTCATTACTCTTTCATTACTCATTTTTCATTACTCATTACTTGTTACTAATTAACTCATCACTCGTTACTCGTTACTAAGTACTCACTACTCATTACTCATCTTTCCCGGGCCAAAAAAGCAACTAAATTCAATACCTCATACATAGCATCACAGACAACATAGCCAACATATCCTCTGCCAATTTACTATTACTATCACTATTATTATCATCATTATCATTGTTATCATTACTATCATCATTATCATTAATATTATTATTATTATTATTTTCATTATCGTTATCATCATCCTCATCATCTTTATCGTCATTATTATTACTATCATTATTAATATTATCATTATTATCATCATTATTTTTATTACTATTACTATCATCATTATTATCATTATTCTTGTTATCATTACTATTATCATTATCGTTATTATCATCATCATCACCATCACCATCATTATCATTATTATTATCAGCACTCATCATATATTTTATCATCCTGTCTATATTCATTATCATCATTATTATAATGATCATGATTATTTTCATCATTATCATCATTATGACAACTATATATCATTATGATTTTAGGAGGCTAATAACATCAAAAAATAAGAAATATGAAAAATATGTTTTAATGAAAATCCTGAAATTCTAAACCGAATATGCAAATGACAGAATCTTCTATCTTTCTCTTCATTTTTTCCTAACCGATAATGATGATTTTTTTTTATTTTCTCTCATTTTCATTAATTCTGGAAATGCGAGTTAAAAAAAAAACTGCTGCATCGTGTATAAACAGAGAAAGCGATAAATGATCTGGCCAATGGAATAACGCAATTTCTCTCTCTCTCTCTTTTCTCTCTCTCTAAAAAAAAAAAAGGAAATAAAATGCCATTGTTATTATTTTTTTTTTTTTTTTGCCTCTCTCTTTTTCTATCTCGAAAGCATTTTCCACCTATTTGCCCATTCAGATTTGCCTAAACACGGGAAATTAAAAATAAACATTAGCTGTCCTTATCTTTTATCGCACTCGGGGGGAGGGGAGGGGAGGGGAGGGAAGAGGAGGGGAGGGGAGGGAGGAGAGAGGAGGGATGGGAAATGAAGGAAGGGGAGGGGAAGTGAGGGAAGGGAAAGAAGGGGAGGGGAGGAAAGGTAGGGAGGGGAGGGGAGGGGAGATGAGGAAGTGAAGCAGGGAAAGAAGGGGGAAGGATGAGGGGAAGCGGCTGGGATAAGGGAGAGACAGAGAAGGAAATGAGGGGAAGGGGGAGGATGAGGGCAGAGGCTGGAGTGAGGGAGGTGAGGTATAGAAGGGAGGGAGGGGGGGGGCTGAGGGTAGAGGGTTGGTGAGGGAGATGGGGGTTAAAAGGGGGAAGGGGACTGAAGGAAGGGAGAGGGAGGGATAGACCAAGGAGGGGAGAGGGAAAGAAAACAGAAGAAAGGAGAAGCGGAAGAGGCAAGAGGAAAGGATAAGGATGGAAAGGAGAAGAGAGAGAAAACGGAGATGGAAAGAAAACTGAAGGAAGGAGAGGAGAGGAAGAGAGAGAGAACAGTTGGTGCTGTTGGAGGGGGGAAGGAGGGAGAGAAGGTGGGGGAAGAGTAGGAGAAAAGAGAGGAAAGAAGGAAAAAGAGAGGGAAGGAGAAACGGAAAGAGAGAGATAACGAAAAGTAGGAGAAAGGGAAGGAGGTGAAATGGAAATAATTCTATTACGTTTTTTTTTCGTTCTTTTTTCTTTTTTTCTTTTCTTTTTCTTTCTTTTTTGTAAGAAAAAAATGACGTGGATAAACTAAATTATTAAATATGCTGAGTCGGTTTTGTGCAAAGCTTTTTATAGTTGATGATGGCTTTTACGAGAGATTTCATAGTCTGTTTTAAATTCTATTTTTTAATATATTCTATTTTTTATTGATTGAAAAAATATCTATCCTCTTAATGATTATAAGAAGATGAATAATCATAATAATGATGGCAATGGTGACAATGCAAACGATGACAATGATACTGGAATGCTAATGGTAATAATGATGATGGGGATAATAATAGTAATACAATGAAAATAATAACAGTGATAATGATAATGATGATGATAATTATAATTGTAAATATATTTTTTTTAATGAAGTAATGATAATAATAAAAATAACAATAATGATGATAATGATGATACTACTATTACCACTACTACTACTACTACTGCTACTACTACTACTACTACTACCACTACTAATACTAATACTACTACTAATAATAATAATAACAATAACAATCATGATGATAATATTGATAATGGTAAAAAGTGGAAGCGCATACACCGGACTAGGTATGAAAATAACTGATGTAGCAAAAATATTCGCACTTAAAGAATTACCTTAAAATCGCCTCTTTCTCACACGTTGTTTTGCCAAGCACAGTAAATTATCCTACATTGCGAATTTCTTTGCAAATACCGTGAAGATCAACCAACACGGTATTGTGGCAGATGGGAGAAAAAAAAGGCAAAAAAAAACGAAGTAAAAGTTACGTTTTCTCGATCAGCGTTCACATAGCTACGTTTATTAATTTATTAATTTATTAGTTTGTTAATCATTGGTTTAGTAATTTATTAGTTTGTTAATCATTGGTTGTAAAAGCATTGGGATCACTGGGATACAATGATTTTGTACCATTAACAAACTTATTTATCTAAAAAAAAACTTATTTGTTAACAAAATTATTTATTAAAAATAAATAAAATTTTGTATATTAACAAACACAATGATTTTGTGTTTGTTAATCATTGGTTGTATAAGCACTGGGATACAAATATGTATTGGCATGTCTAAATCAAGTAGCGTAAATTAGGAGGTTTTCGTTCTGAGGGAATCCAAAATTGGTTACAAAATCAAAATTATATAGGAGGTGCTGGTGTCATTGTTGAGATCGGCGGAAAATATAACAGGGGCAGAAAGTTGAGCCAGATGTGGGTCTTTTGGGGTAAGGAACGTGTAAGTAAAAAGATATTCATTGTGCCATTCCTGGACAGTGACAGGAGAGTACAAACGTTCATACCCCTAATTAAGAATTATATAAAACCAAATAGCATGATATAAAGTTAATTAAGAATTATATAAAACCAAATAGCATGATATAAAGTTAATTAAGAGTTATATAAAACCAAATAGCATGATATATAAAGAGTTATATAAAACCAAATAGCATGATATAAATGTAATCAAGTTATATAAAACCAAATAGCATGATATAAAGTTAATTAGGAATTATATAAAACCAAATAGCATGAATTAAAGTTAATTAAGAGGTTATTAAACAAACAACATGATATAAAGCGATGGATGGGCTGTCTACAGAAACCTACAACAACATGGTTACAAACATCTGAGTATCAATCATTCTGCAAATTTTGTAGACCAATACGAACCACAAATCCATACTCAAAACACAGAAATATTGTGGCGAGACTTAAAGGGAGTGTGTAAAGCGCCCAGGGATTAAGAGTGAATATCTCCTGCAGTGAATTAAGCGGTATTATTTATCAAAGAAATCTAATTCTGTTTTTTTTTTTTTTTTTTTTTTTTTTTCGAAAGGGCATCATTATATGTTCCTGTCAATAAGGACAATTCTTCCGAGAGTGAATTAATTTAGGTGAGTTCACAACCTGTAATAACGTTTCTTCATTAATTTCAGTAGTTGTTTAATTTTTTGAAAATCGTCGTTACGGAACAAATTACATGGTTTCGTGCACTTTCACGCATTTTTAATAAGATTTGTCGAAATTGAATTAAATGTGTAAAACAGCATGACATAATCACAGTCTATAACGGGTAAATATTAGCAAATTAGCGATTATAATATGTGACAAACTGCGATAATACAACTTCCTGTTTTATCTTTTTTGTTTTGTACTTCTATTTGTAAACGCAATAAATATGTTAAATCCCATTATTATCTGAGTAATAATTAACGAACTTTTATGGATATAGTTGATAGGATCATCAGGAAACTTAGGAAACGCATTTTCATATTCAGAAGTTTCTGTTCTACAATCATGATTTAATGCATTTGAACTGTGCTGCAATCAGGCAAAAAGTACTCCAGGATTTAACCACATAATTGAAGGAGTCAACCACATAATTGAAGGATTTAACCACATAATTGAAGGATTTAACACACAATTGAAGACTGTAATTGTCTAGTTTAGTCCTTTATTTACCACCCTGGCTAACTGCACAAGCGTGGGCAAGCTGTGGTACATTCGATGCATGGTCAAAGCATTATATAATAGTATTACAGTGTAAATCTAGATCATAAAATTATTTTTTACGATCTAAAATATATCATTTAATAGAAAAGAACAATCACAGTAATTTATCTACTCATCTATCAAGCCGGCACCGTAATTGTATAGGTGAAATGTGGCTCCCGTTTCCGTAGAGTTTCAACAAACACAATTTAAAGTCTTTTTTTTTCCCTTCGTGGTTTTATTTTGTTTTGTTGTTTGTAAATTACGCTATTTCTTCCCAAAAATAGTGCGTAGCTTAGGCTTACACGCTTAAGCAACTTTGACGTCGAGAAGTACAAGTAACGTTACTCGCCAAGCAGTCAGATGCGACGGAGAACTACGTAACTGCGGTAAATAAAGGAATATTCCATTTTAAAAAATATATTTCGAAATTCTGAGGCTGATTGAAATTGGAAGTTTACCCAATTATCTTTATCATTATTTATTACCCTGTTATCCTTCTCTCTCTTTTCTTTCTCTCTTCTTTTCTCTCTCTTCCTCTCTCTCTCCTCTGCTCTCTCTCTCTCTCTCTCTCTCTCTGCTCTCTCTCTCTCTCTCTCTCTCTCTCTCTCTCTCTCTCTCTTCTCTCTCTCTCTCTCTCTCTCTTTCTCTCTCTCTCTCTCTCTCTCTCTCTCTCTCTCTCTCTTCTCTCTCTCTCTCTCTCTCTCTCTCTCTCTCTCTCTCTCTCTCTCTCTCTCTCTCTCTTCCTGTCTATTAATCTCTTTCTCCCTCTCTTCTCTCTCTCTTTTCCCCCGACGAAAGAAGTTCTCCCGGAAAATGGCCCTAGGCACTGGCACTGATCTGGCACCGGCTTCGTGATTACCGCCCCAAACGGACAGCTTTTCCTCGGGAGTGCCAGACAATCAGAATGCAAATGATGCCAGTAAACCAGTGCCATTTTCCTTGGGATTTTTTTTTTTTTTTTTTTTTTTAGGGGGGGGAGGAGGGGGATGGTGTGAGGATTGGGATATTTTTGAGGGGATAGGGGGGAGGGGGAGAGGGGGGAGTAGCGGTAAGGAGTTGGGGTGTCGGGGGTTGTTGGTAGGGGGGTGGAGGGGGGGGCTTGGACAGAACCTTTTGTTTTCGGGGGGGAGGGGGGAGACAATGGTAGAGGTGTAAGATCTTTTTTTTTTTTTTTAAGGAGGTGATAGAAGGGAGATCTTTTCTTCTCCCGAGGACGAGAGATGGAGGGGTGGAGGTGGGGGGTGGGGTGGGGTGGGGGGGTTATGTAGAAGAGGGGATCCGGTCTGTGGTTTATTGCAGGTCCGTGCGTTCTTTCTGTGCA